TCAAGAAAATGGCCAGGAAATTTTTAGCATAACCTGATAGTCTTATATTTAAGGATTTATTTTTAATTTTTGTCTGTGTGGGGGTGTTGTGCTGCCCTTGGAGGATAGACATGGAGTTTCAGTGGATGTAAACCACCTAATGTGGGTGCTGGGAACTGAACCCAGGTCCTCTGGAAGAGCAGCATGGGCTCTTACTGCTGAGCCATCTCTCCAGCCCCCTGTGGTCATACATGGCTCATCTCTGTGGAGTTTCTATATGGAAGGAGTCTACCATTGCGTGTGAGCCTGCTATGGAAGCCTGTGATCCCAGCAATTTGAAAGTGGGTCAGGATTTATTTATTTTATTTATTTATTGTGTATACAATATTCTGTCTGTGTGTATGCCTGCAGGCCGGAAGAGGGCACCAGACCTCTTTACAGATGGTTGTGAGCCACCATGTGGTTGCTGGGAATTGAACTCAGGACCTTTGAAAGAGCAGGCAATGCTCTTAACCACTGAGCCATCTCTCCAGCCCCCCTTTTTTTTGATTTTCAAGACAGGGTTTCTCCGTAGCTTTTGGTTCCTCTCCTGGAACTAGCTCTTCTAGACCAGGCTGGCCTGGAACTCACAGAAATCTGACTACCTCTGCCTCCCGAGTGCACCGCCCGGCTGAAGGATTGTTATTGGAGGTGTTTTTTCTTTCTTTTTTTTTTTTTTTTAAAGATTTATTTATTTATTATGTATACAATGGTCTGTCTGTTTGTATGCTTGCTGGCCAGAAGAGGGCACCAGATCTCATTACAGATGGCTGTGAGCCACCATGTGGTTGCTGGAAATTGAACTCAGGACCTCTGGAAGAGCAGTCAATGTGCTCTTAACCACTGAGCCATCTCTCCAGCCCAGGTGTTTTTTCTTTGTTGTTTTGGTGGATTTTTTTTTTTTACCTTGTTGTTGTTGTTTTAATATTTATTTATTATGTATATAATATATGCCCGCAGGCCAGAAGAGGGCACCAGACCTCACTACAGATGGTTGTGAGCCACCATGTGGTTGTCGGGAATTGAACTCAGGACCTTTGAAAGAGCAGGCAATGCTCTTAACCTCTGAGCCATCTCTCCAGCCCCTTTTTTGTTGTTTTGAGACAGGGTTTCTCTGTGTTCCCTGTCTGTCCTCTTAGACCACACTGGTATCAAGCTTAGAGATCTGCCTGCCTCCCGAGTGCTGGGATGGGACTAAAAGTGTATGCCACCACCGCCTGGCTGTTTACTTTTTTTTTTTCTTTTTTCTTTTTTTTTGGTTTTTCAAGACAGGGTTTCTCTGTGGTTTTGGAGCCTGTCCTGGAACTAGCTCTTGTAGACCAGGCTGGTCTCGAACTCACAGAGATCCGCCTGCCTCTGCCTCCCAAGTGCTGGGATTAAAGGCGTGCGCCACCACCGCCCGGCTCTTTTTTTTTTCCTTAAAGATTTATTTTATTATGTATACAGTGTTCTGTCTGCTTGAATACTTACAGGCCAGAAGAGGGCACCAGATCTCATTATAAATGGTTGTGAGCCATCATGTGTTAGTTGTGGTCAGGAGATGGAGGCAGTCTGAAGTATAGACTGAGTTGAGTTGGAGGCCCTTGTTAGCTATAAGAAACTGCCTCAAAAAGGCAAAAAAAGCAAAAAAAAACAAAAAACAAAAAACAAGGATGAGTGAAAATCTCAAGGGTTAGAAAACGGTCTTCCTTGGCTGAGAATGAGAAGCTTGTTGGGATTTTGGAGTTTCCCTTTCCCTCCCTCCCTCCCTCCCTCCCTCCGTCCCTCCCTCCCTCTCTTTTTCCTTCTCCCTCTCCTTCCTTCCTTCCTCCCTCCCTCCC